TGCATATATATTAACAAGTGTAATATCCTCATTTTGTAGTACTCCTTTAGTCATTATAAAATGTCCTTCTTTATCTTTCTTTATGTGCTTTGTTTTAAAGTCTATTTTGTCTGAAATCAGTACTGCAACACCTGCTTTACTGGCTTTTCCATTTGCATGGAAAGTCCTTTTCCATCCTTTCACTCTCAATCTATATGTGTCCTTCTCCATAAAGTGGGTCTGTTGTATGCAGCATATCGAAGGTTCTTGCTTTATTATCCAGTCTGCCACTCTGTGTCTTTTGACTGGAGCATTTAGTCCATTAACATTTACAGTAATTAATGATAGATGTGTGTTTAATGCGTTTTTGAAATTATCTTTGCAGATGAATTGGTATATCCTCTTTGTTCCTTTCTTCTTCCTTTTGTGGTTTGGTAATTTTCCTTTACATTTTCATGGATTTTATTTAGTTATTGTGACTCCCTTGTAAGTTTTTGGCTTGTGGTTACCCTTTTTGTAGGTCTATTAACCCATTACTATAACTGTGTTTATTAAACTGTTAGTAATATAATCTCAACCCCATCCTAATGAGAACAATAAATTAAAAACAGAAAGAAAAAACTGTATATTTTCTTGCTTCCCTCTCCCACTCTTAATGATTTAGATTAAGTTCTTTTACAACTTCGTGTTTATGTGTAATTCATGAGATATCACCTTTCCAGTTATGAGTTTCTCATTTCTTTATCATCCTGATTCTTTTCTATTTAGAGTAGACCTTTCAATATTTCTTTTAGCATAGGTTTAGTGTTGCTAAACTCTTTTAGTTTTTGCTTATCTGTGAATTTTTTTGTCTCTCCTATTCTAAAGGATAGCCTTACTGTATAAAATATCAAAGGCTGCATCTTTTTTTCATTCAAGACTTTGAATATATCTTGCCACTCCCTTCTGGCCTATAGTGTTTGTGTAAAGAAATCAGCTGAGGGCCTTATGAGGGTTCCCTTGTAACTCACTCTTTGCTTTTCTCTTGCTGCCTTTAGGATCATATCTTTATCCTTGACTCTGGCCATCTTGATATTGATATGTCTTGGTGTGGCTCTTTTGGGGTTCTTCCTGTTTGGGACCCTCTGAGCTTCCTGTAATTAGATACCTGATTCCTCCTTTAAGTTTGGGAAGTTTTCAGTCATGATTTATTCCAATACCTTTTCAATCCATTCAATCTTTCTTTCCCTTCTGGAATCCCTATTATGCATTGATTGGCATGCTTTCTATTATCCTATAGGTCCCTTATGTTGTTTTCATTTGTTTTTATCTGTTTATGTCACAGATGTTCTGATTGGGTGTTTTCTGCTGTCCTGTCGTCTAGGTCACTTATTCATTCCTCTGCATTATCTAGTCTGCTTTGTACAGCCTTTAAATCAGTTCTCATCTCAGCCAATCTGTTTACCAATTCTACTTGTCTTTTTATAGCTTCAATTTCATTTTTGACATATTTTATATCTCTAAACACCATCTCTATTAGTTCTTTCAGTATTTTGATCACTCCTTTTTTGAAATCTTGACCTAATAGGCTATTGATGTCTATTTCATTGATCGTTCTTTCAGGGGATTTCTCTTGCTCTTTTAATTAGGAGTTGTTCCTCTGCTTCTTCATCTTGTTCATCTTTCTCTGGCACTGTGGCTTATGGAGTATCAGTTATCTATTGTGGTCCTTAAGAATTTTATTTGTTTATCTATCTAAAGCCTATGTAGGAATAAAACTTAAAACAAGTGTGAATTTTAAAAGAAGGGAGAAAAAAGTTTGAAAACAGTGTATAATCAATATTAGAAGAGCAATTTTAATCAGACTAGCAATTGAGTTGAGACGTCTTTTTAAAAACTCTTTAAAAAAAGGGGAAAAAGTTCAAAAAACAATATTTGAAACCTGTGTATAATCAATAACAGGATATCAAAACCAAGAGAAATGAAAATGAATTCAGGTGGATTTTTAAAAATAATCATAATGAAAATACTTAAAAAGAAAAATTTACAAAGATTAAAACTAGAAGTACATACAATTGTTTAGAAAATAGAAATTAAAAAGGTAATAGAAAATAGAACAGATAAAAAGGATAAATTAGAGAATTTTAAAAGAAAGGAGAAAAGGGATTTGAAAACAGTGCCTAATGAATAATAGAAGAGCAACTTGAAGCAGAATAGCAATCAGGTTGAGACGTCTTTTAAAAACCTTTAAAAAAGGAGAGAAGTGGAAAAAAATATTTGAAACCTGTGTATAATCAATAACAGGAGATCAAAATCAAGAGAAATAAGAATGAAATGAGGTGGATTTTTTAAAATAATAGTAATAATAATATTTTAAAATAAAACTTAAAGGGATTAAAACTGGGAGCACATATAATTGTCTAAAAAGTAAAAATTGAAAAGGTAATAGAAAATAGAACAGATAAAAACAGATTAAAAGGGGGGAGGGCAGTGTTCTCCTAGAGACTGTGCGCTCTTAGTCAGAAGTCTTTCTGTCTTTGCCCTGTTTCATGAATTCAGCTTGCTATTTCCAGAGGCCCTCTGTTGGCGCCCTGGTCCATGCTTTTTCCAGTGCCTGTTGGCAAGCAGATCACGCTTCCTCCCAACACTGGGTCAAGTGCAGCTCTCCTTCACTGTGGGCAGGTGGGTCACTGCCTCTCCCGATGCCACAGTCAGATACTGCAGACCAGCCCAGTATGTCGGCAGATTGCGGCCCTTCCCAGCACCACAGTCAGGTGCTGCATTCCTGCCAGGAAGGTGGGTGGCCGCCTTCCCTCTCCCAGTCCCGGTCGCTCCACTGCTCTGTGCTGCTGCTCACTCCACCTCGGGTCTGCGCTCCATAGGCGGGCTCCAGGCTCTGTCTGGCCTTTGAGGTTGCTAAGCCCTTAGGTACAGATTCAGGTTTCAGCCCCTCCCATGCCTGGGTGCTAAGTGCTGGAGGATGTGGCGGCTGTGCCTGAGCCCCACCTCTCTTCTCCTGAAAACCTTCTGCAGGTTTTCAGAGATGGGGATTTTGGCACCCTTCCCCCAGGGCATATCAGCCATGTTGTTGTATAGCCCAGGTTGTTCTGCCCTGCGTAGCCACTCATACACGGCACACAGCACCCTGCAGTCTCCCAGGGATGCCTCAGTGCACCTGCCCCAGTCCTCTGCCCGGCCAGGGCAGCCTGTCCTGGCCCCAAGCTGCCAGCTTGCATCTCGGGCTGGATGTCGCAGGGACCCTCTGTGCCTGTTTAACTTAGCTCTGTCAGTCAAGGGGTTCTCTGTACAGATCCAAGCCTTGGAGGCTCCCTGTCCATCCCACTGGCCTCTCCATTGGAGAGGGGGATGCCCAACGAAAAGCGCTATTCCTCCTTTGCTGCCATCTCTCTGCAGGACCAGTCTTGCACTGTTTTGCCTTTTCTTCTTTCTTTTTTCCATTTCTCCTACCAGATTTTTGGCGTCTTTGTCTTTTGCAGACGGCGATGTTCTGTTGGAGTTCAGCAGGTGCTCTGGTTGGCTGGGTAGGTCCATGGATGTGAGTTTTGGTGTATTTGTGGGAGAGAGTGAGCTACAAGTGTCTTACTACTCTGATATCTTGGCCTTACCCTCAGGAATGGTTTCTATTCATTGCTTTTTCACTTGTTTATGGGCTATAATAGTTTCTTTGCATATCTCATATGATTGTCGACAATTGAATTTTTAAAATAATAAGTGTGCCAAATCTGGAAATCTGAATCTCCCTGTCTCATTCCAGGGCTTGTTGTTAGCACTACTTGTTCTACTAATTGCTGTTTGTTTGTTCAGTAACTTTTATGAACTAATTCTACGTAGACTCTTGTATTCTTCGTCATAGATTGCCATTGAAGTCTCTTCTCAGTGAGCTTAGTGGTCAGCTAATGATTGGATAGATTATTTCCTTAAATACCTAGAACCAATAAATCTCCCAGGGCTCTTTTGCCTGTTGAAATATGTCTTCAGCTTTCATCCAGGAAGTTTATAACTGTGCCATAATCTTCAATTCCTGCTAATGCAGAACCTCAAGGATAGCCACAGGTAAGAACTTATGACCTTTTCATATCTTTTCTGAGCATGCACACAGCCTTATAAATGTCTGTGGCCTTCTAGATTCCCAGGAATGTGTCAGAGATTTTCAAAGTTGCAAAGACAACACTTTACACAATATTTTTCCTTTTAATTTTTTGATTAGTCTCTTGCTTACCTCAACTGTTGTCCATTGCCTCAGGCAGCTGTGTGACACATACCCCTCCCCCTGCCTGGGGAAAGTTTTAGCACTGGGTGACCAGTAAAGACAAGCTTTGTGAGTCAGGTCTTTCAAGGAACCACAATTCAGGTCAAATAAAGACAACTGCTTGGGAATTAAGTATGTTCTACTCACTCCAACACCTAGAATATTGTTAATTTTCAAGGATATTGCTGACTTCAAGGAGGGTGATAAAGCAAGTGTAAGTTAAAATGCAAAAAAAAATTGTTCTGTTCCTAACAAGACTGGGATGTTTTTCTTCCATAGTTGCTATCTGGGTTGATTCAAACCTTTGACTAATTTCCCAAAATCTAAAAGAAAAAAAGAGTTTATGAAAACTTTTTATCAGTTTTTTCATTTCTTTTATGAAGAGGTGAATATTTGGAGGTCTTTATGCTACCATTTCCACTGACATCACCCACAGCCATCTTCTTTGTAATACTTCTAAGTCCCTCTCAAGAAATGAATAGCTAAATTTCAGTTGGAAATTAGTAAAAACAAAATATATTTTCCCATCTAAATTAAAAGATTCTCTGAACTCTAGCTGTATATTCCTATGTACTCTGGGTTAAGAATCCTGCCTTGAAATAATGTGAAAAATGAGCAGATGACTGACAACTTTCCAGCATCATGAGATAAGTGTTGGGACAGGTCTAGGTATGTACCTGACTGGCCCTTACTACTTATTAATTTCCCTATGGCATTCAACTCTTCACTCAAGGGTTCTAAGACCTTTGACTGGCTTCCCTTTTCCTTGCAGACTTCTCAAAGCCACTTGAGATCAAGACTAAGGCACCCACAACCATGCAATCCCCCTTGGAAGGTGAGTTTTACTAGGGTTCTGCAGGAGTAGGAAAGGCCTTAGATGGTGTCATGGAAGCCACGGGAGGAGGCCCAATGTCATTAGATGGGTAATAAGAGGTCACTGGTTTCTTCAGAAGGAACAGAGTGATAGAGGAATGGAGATAAAAGAAAGATAGCAAGGATTTAAATGTTGTGAAGAAGTAGAATTATGAATATCTGTACCTTCTTTGTGAAAACTTCTGAGAAAAAAGGAGGGATAGAATTAGAATAATCCCATGGGAAAAGTGGGAAAGGAAACCTATGACTTCTGTTCTGCTCCTAGTCTGACTTGCTGTGGGACTTTGGGTACATTGCCTCTCCTCTATGGGCCTTTTTCCCAATATCAACAGTGAAAAACTAAAATATATCAATTTATTGTAATAGTAGTCAATGACATGGCCAGGTATCCTGGAAATCTTAGCACAGATGCCCACAGAAGGATCTCAAACTATGCAGCCACCTTCCACCTCACAGCTCCTAACTGAAAGAGAGGCCTCTAATCCTAATACTCTGTTGTCATAGCAACATCCAGAGTGAGCTCATCTTGGGGCTGGACCACTAAAGCTGATAACTACCTTGAGAAGACAAGTGCTGGGCCAGGTAAGGGCAATGTTGGGGCTTTTATTCTTCCTTCTTGGCTCTGAAATTTGCAACCAAAACTTCCTACACTGTTATACATCATTCAGCTCTGCAGATCATTACCTCTTATATGCCAGGCTATGGTCAAAGGCCCTGGAGTTGGGTCAGGTGGATGGGGTAGAGAGGGAGCGACACAGATTCAGGGATAAACAAAGTCAGAGTGGGGTTAAGGGGAGTGATAGGTGTGTTCTTAGATAGTTCTTTGTTGCAATACTAATATATTTCTCAATCATGCTAAGTAGGGGTAGAAATGGAGTTATGACTTCAGCCAGCTTTCCTAGGAAGATAGACATTGGGCCAGGTAAGTGTAGTGGCAGAGCCTCACAGCTTCAGCTCTTTACCAGGGCTCACCAAACAGCTTGCTGCTTATTTCTGATTCATCCAAAGTTTCAAGGATCCCTAAGTCACAGTCTCAGAGATCCAAACCACATAGATAAGCTCTTTGGGGTTTCACCTAGAGCCAATAGTCAGCTGGTATGCACTGATATGACTGCACTGATTGTTAAAACAATGAGACACTTCTACACTAGTTGATGATTTGATGCTTCCCTTAACTACTGAGCTCCCCATTATCACCTAGGATGCCACCTCATGGTTTTGCAGCAAAAGTACTGATGCCTAGTATAACATGGGGACATTTAAGACTCTAGATCTACAGTAGACATATGTTTTGATTGATTGTTTCTAAATAGTTTGATGACTATCACTCTTGATCTCATCCTCTGCTTTTGTGTCATTGATGGTGGACTACTTAATGCTCTTGTACTTCTCCCTTCCTAGTTGCAGAGCTTCTTGGATGTCTCTGCTCATAGCCTAAACCTGTTTTGTGTGCCATCTTTACATTGTCACCTTTGGTTTGAAAGCTTCCATAGTTCTGTGCCTCTCCCAGGGCAACATCCAGTGGGAGAAGGGAGGCTAGAATATATCTCTTGGAGTGTCGGTTTGGGAAGATGATAAGATAACCCTTGGAGGAATGGAAATTCTCAGATTTGGGGTCCGTGTCCTGTATCCTCTATTAATTTTTTCACTACTTGACTCTCTCCAATGGGGAATCTTCCCTTGATCTGTGTAATTTAATAGCTTGGGTTCTCTTAGCTCCAATCAGAGCGCCAAAGACCACAAATACCAGATTTATAGAACATAGTATTTTGGGGGCTAGAGCAAACAAAGCCAGTTTCAGCAGCAAATCCTAAGGACACTGGGATTACTTTCCCTACCCATTCATATCCCTTGACCTCACCCCCTAGATTCAGAATATTATAGCTACAAGGGCATCAGACATCATCCAATCTTTTCATTGAACTTATTGGGAAACTAAGGCATTAGTCAAAAGTTTGACTAAGGTCACTGTCTTATTCTTCTATTATTGCTAAAAAAATTACCCCAAACTTAGTGCTTTAAAATAACACAAATTTATTATCCTACACTCCTGGAGATCAGAAATCTGACACACTGGGCTAAAATCAAGGTGCATCAAGGCTGTATTCTTTCTGGAGTCTTTGGGTAATAATCAGTTTCTTTGTTGTTTCCAGTTTCTAGAGGCTGCCCTTTTTCCTTGGCTTTTGGCCCCCTTCTAGTATTTTCAAAACTAGCAATGTGGCATCCCTAAATCTCTCTCTGAAACTTCATCTTCTGTTTCCCTCTATTTTTGAAGACCCCTTGTGATTACATTGACCCCACCCAGATAATTCAAGATTATCTCCCCATCTCAACATCAGCTAATTAACAACCTTAATCTATCTGCAATCTTAATTCATCTTTACAATGTAAACATACTCACAGGTTCTGGAGATTTGGATGTGAATATCTTTGGAGCACTTATTCTGCCTACCACAGTCATACAAAAGTAAATAACAGATCCAGGACTGGAAGCCTAGTCCAGTGATTTCCTTCAGCTTTCAGGCATTATTGGGATAGGTAACCCAGGAGACTAAGTGGAAACACATTTTGAGGAGAAAGAAACTTGGGTACTTGGCCAGAGAGTGAGAAGGAAAGAATCCTTACAGCGAGAAGTAATTGATCAGAATTTCAGTAAGGTAGCATTTTTGTGATGCTGCAAAGCCACAGAACTACTTTTTCCTCTTTAAGAAAGGTTGAAATCCTCTTGTCTTGGCCTCATGTAAAGCATAGAGTCCTGGTTCAAATATCTAAGCCAACCGGCCATCAACCAGTGGGTCTGAAAGAACTTGTTTATACATGGAGTCTCTAGCTTCTCTCAAGTCTTTCTCATGGGCTTGGGGTTTTGTTTGTCTCTCTGGCCAGCTAAAAAAGGTAGGAGAAGATGTAAAATGGAAAATAAAGAGGTGTGACCTGGTCTGGGCTGATTTTTAGAGTCTCTGTTTCTGGACTCATTTTCAACCAGATATTACTTGGTCTTGTTTTGCCTCCTAGGAAAGGGACTACCTATCTTTGCCATCATTCTCATCATCTCCTTGTGCTGTTTAGTTGTAATCACCATGGCCTATATCATTCTCTGCCGGAAGACATCTCAACAGGGTGAGTGATGAGTATGACTGGGTAGGTTTTGCTCATTCATTCATTCAACAGTATAGTTGAACATAAACCCTGTATCAGGCACTGTGTTAGGCACTTCAGAGTGTCTCCAGCCTAGTTTGAGAGTGAAGGTAGGGGTCCATGGAGACAGATGTGCAAGCCAAAAAATGAGAATACAACTTCTGGAAGTTAATCCACAAATCTTGGGTACTCAACCTAGTACAGAATCTCTGGATGGGTTTTTCTAATGAGGAGGCAAGAAAAGAGAAGTCACAGCCCTTGGCCTCAAGTTGTTTACAATTTAATTAAGGGAATCAAGGTTGAAGCATGGAGTTTATTAATAACAATACAAGGCTATAAAAGCTATAGTCTCAAGACTGGAGAAGGCAATCAATGCTAAAAGGATCCAGAGAACAAGAGATTCATTTAGGGCTACAGTAATTAGCAAGGGCTTTCAGAAGGAGGTGGGACTTAGGCCAGTCCTTCGAGGATGAAAATAATTTGGAAGGGGGCAATATCCAGGAAAGAGAAACTATATGAGTAAAGGGGATAAAATCTTAAAAGATGACTGTGAGTGGGGTCAGCAATATAGAAATTCATGTAGCTAAGGGAAATGAAAATTTATTCCTGATCATAGGAGGTCTTGAATGAACAGTTAAGGAATTTGGACTTTTTTTCTCTAAGACTTGCAAAGGCATCAAAAATCACTAAAAAAAATTAAGCTGAGGAGTGACATGATGAAGGTGTAAGTGTCATTTAATAACTGTTTGCCAACAGAAGAGGAAAAAGAGAAATTTGGATGTTAATTTTTAAGTAAAACCCAACTAAACCTCAATTCCTGCTACACTAGCCATTTTAACTAGCATTAGCATATTTCTTCCTCTGTAGTAGCTCCTACTCCTGAATAGCTTGGTTTCCACGATGGGTCTCTCCATCCAAAGAAGAGAAGAGAGCCTTGAGTGTCTCATTCTCCTGGGTCTCAAGTATAAGCTCTGGTCTTGGCCAATTACCATGGCTATGACCCATGAGGCTAAACTTGGAAGTGGAGGCATCTCAAGTGGCTACAAATCTCAGGAATATTGAAAAGAAAACATCATCATAGTCTTGATGAGACTGGGTATAAACTGCAATTATATTAGATTATTTCCCTCTCAAAAATCTCCAGGGCTCCTCATGACTCAAAGGTCAAAATGTAGCATTCTATTCAAGGTCCTCTGCAATGTGGCTCTGGCTGATGTTCTCAATCCACACCATTCCCTTCTACTTATTTTCATTTCCAGTCACTGAAGTCAAACAGGCAAATAAGCCATGTACCTCATGCCTTTATGCTTTTTCCCTTCCTGGAATGCCTTCCCAGAATTCCTGCTTTCTAACCCTCTATAATGAAGACAGCCTGAGGGCATCAATTCAATTTAACATGTAGTTACTGAGTGCCTACTATGTGCCAGAGACTAGGCATATAAAAATTAAAATGACCCTGCAGTAGGGAGTTACCAGGCCAATACAGAATGTTAGACATGGAAATACAGTACTTTGTCACAAGGCAAAAGATCTGTAGCATGCTGTGTTTGCTTTGCTATGGTTTAATGTATGAATTCCCAGTTGCATCCCTGAAAGATTACAAGCCCTCTAGAGGGTAGTGCCAAGAGACATCTATCTTTGTACAAGGCTATAGAGCCTTTAAGCCTGCATGGAATGTAGATATTTCATCTCCAGAGACACTAGGGGTCAATGGTGACCTATTCCAGGATCTTTCCTGGATGCAGGGTGGGGTTGAGTTTGGGAATGACTCAGGTCATGGTCCTGACCATCAGACTAATTCAGACCCTTCCGCCTGGGCTCTGGATGGCTACCAAGTTTCCCACAAGGATTACCTGGGGATCTTTGACAAGGTTCCTGGGTAAAGAGTGGGTCCAGTTCCAGTGACCCTCCTGTTGCCACACCAAGCCCAATGTCCTGAGTCAGAGTATGCCAAAGAGGACAGTAATCATGTGTGCTCACTTTTCCTTTCCCTGGGAAATTTGCATCCCTGTGTTCCAACTCACCTTTCCAACACTTTACATTTGTTGGAAGACTGAAACATATTGAGATTCCCCTTTCTGTCTCCTCTTCTTTCACCTTTTGGTGGGTATCCAGGGTCCATGATTGGCCTTTGTCCACTCTCCGTGTAGACTTCTGACTGGTTTCTTCCTTCTTTTCTAGATGTCTGTGAAGTTACCAGGTAAGATAGCCTCTCCTCTTCCATCTTCTGACCCCTTCATTGCCCTGAATTTTGTTGCTCACTGGCATAGAAGAAAGGCGATTTGGTACAGACCAAATCTTAAGCCCAGAGGCCTTCAGGATAAGGGCACACCTTTCTTCCCTCTCTGAAGTACCTCCTGTGATTCTTTCCTGGCCCACAGAACACACAAAGTAATTTAGGTCCATCAGCCTTCTGTTCCCAGAATCCCTGGGTGGGACGCGCCTGAGGTTCAGGTGGCAAGAATTAGGGCAGAAAGGTGGGAAACCAGGGTCCCGACTTCAAATTTCTTCTCATGGGTGGTGGGCTCTTGGGCCACAGGGTGCATGCCAGAGAGGCCAGTGACTCTGGTGAAACCATGAGGGTGGCCATCTTCGTGAGTGGTTGCTCCAGTGAAGACCCAGCTTCCTAGACTCTGGGCTACAATTACTCTGATGAGCCCTGCCTGGGCCAGGAGTGCCAGATCATCACCCAGATCAACAGTGACTACGCTCACCTGCTGCACACAGTTCCCATGGATTATGAGTTTCTGGCCACCAAGGACAAGAGTGTCTGCTAAAAATGTCCTTTAGGCTAGGATCTGTTGACATAATTGCATATTTAGCTCTGGAATTTTGCACTGTCTGCCTCCCTGCTATCTTTCTTCCTGGATAGCCTAATACATCCTCCCTGCCAACATTGGGGTCCCTAGGAGTAACAGATTTCACCTAAGAAGTTACCATATGTATCTCAAGCAAGCCTGCTGCTAGGTCAGGCCCTAGCCCTTCTAGTATTCCTGCCTGGGGCTTCTGCTGCTTCTCTCCAAATACCAGAAAACAGTACCCATAGCACTAGGACTTGGTCTTCATGCCTCCAGACATCACTCAAATTTGGTCTCTTACAACCAAAAGACCAGAGGGGACCAGTTGGGTTCAGGATCACTTCCCTTTCTCCAGTGCCATATAGCTTTTAAATGAGATTGTCATACAGCAGGCCAGGGTTCAGTTCTGCTCCTGTAAGTCTAGTGCTCTGGTATTCTTTTGATGCTTAATAAACATTTAAACATAACAGTAACTTTGATAATATTGATCTTTTTTAGGGAACTACCAAGAGTGATTAAAGTGAGACTAGTTGAGATGACTGGGGCCCTGGGAGTATGGATAGCACCTTTGCTTTCATTGGTTTTTCTCCTTCCCACCGATACTACCCTTACCTCACTTCAGCAGTGGGCTGACTGGAACACAATGGATCATTGTTAAAACAGTACTCAACTGCCTTCCAGTCCCTCCCCAATCATCCTCCCAGTTCCAGCTAGATGACTCTTCCCTGATCAGGTCAATTGAAAACCTGAAAAAGAAGGAGACTTTCTTCTGTCTCAGGAGACTGGGTGCAGAGACAAAGTGCTTCCCTTATTTCCAAAGTATGGATGCATCACTCTCAAGGATTTCCACATCCTAGAATCCTAAAATCTTTGGAGTAGTTGTATTCTTCATAGAACATCTCTATCTCCTGACCCCATCTTACAATGTGGGGGTGGGGATCAGGGAAGGGAAGTCTTTCTTCTCAAGCAAGAATAGGCACTAAGAGTTTGAATGTGTGTGTGCAGGTGTGTGTGTGCAGGTGTGTGCATACATATATATTTTTAAATCAGTTTCCCTAGTGAGGACATTTTTTGGGCCAGTTCAACACTGCTTCTTTCCCCTCATGTAATCCATGTCAAATCAACTTCTTTATTTTTCATGGAAGCTGATATGTGCCACTTTTGGTTACAGTGCAACTCCTAGGTCAGCTCAGGTTTATGCAGGAGCTTCTTTTCTATAAATTGATTGCAGAAGTCAAAATAGTACACAAAAGTAAACAAAGAGTCCTTAATTTTACCACCACGAACCTGCAAAGCCCACAGTCAAAATCTCAGTGCTTTCCTCATCCCCAGATGCCGGCTTCACAGGGCTGGTAAAAGGGGCAACTTCTTCCCCATCATGCTTTCAAGCCTCTGAAACAGGGCCCCCACCCAATGGAAACCTCAGCTTCCTTCATGAAACAGCTGTGTCCAGACTCACGGCCTTTGAAAATAGCCATTATCTCTTCCCACTCCCCTTAGAGAAAGAAGTTATTGGAGCTAGGAAGAGAATTCTAGTTGCATTTCCATTGGTAAGAGGAACCCCAATCCAGAAACTTGCCCCTGTCCTCCATAGAACCTGTGCATCCCCTATCAAAGTCTCTTGTCCTAGAGATCTTAGGGATAATTGATTCTAACTCTCCCGTATTATAAATGGGGAAGTAAAGCCCAAAGAAGAAAAATGATTTGTCTAAAGTCACACACATCAAGCCGTTGGTATAGCAGAGACCAGAAGTCAAGTCTGTGGACTCCTAGGAGCATCTATTTATTGTAGCAGGAAACTTCTGAAGATCATCTATGCCCCAAAGCTGATAATTTTTTTCCATACAAGACAAGCCAGTATGTTATACGTATAGGGCTAGCCCAAAGCTGCAGGATAGGCTAAACAAAAAATGGTATTAGGCAGGTTAGGCAGGTAGCTGGTTGGGGAAAAGTAAAGGAGTAAAAAGAGAAGCTGTCTAGAAGAGAGAGGAGGTATGAAGTTTCTCTAAGGCAGTTTCTCACATTTTGTTTCATGGAATGTTAGACCCAAGAGGTAGCCCACAGGGGGAAAAAAAATCCATGATCAGATAGCATGGGAATGCTTCATTCTGTAGCTCCCTCTTGGAGATTCCCAATGCATCATTAGAATATTAAAGGCTCTGAAAAATCCTGCAATAAAGCACCTGTATAACATTTTGTTACCAAGTAATTCCAAATTTATTTGCCCTCTTAGCCTACTATTTTGTCCTCTTCCTCTGACTCTTGACCCTATTTCTCAGAAAGAAAACCCTTCCATTTTGGCAATTACCTCACACACCCTACAGCATTGTGGTAACCAAAGTTTTTTTTTCTCACAAAATTCCTAGGTAGCATTTGGCCCAAAGACCCAAAGTTAATGGACTAGTGGAAAGTCAATCAATCAGTAAACATTTATTAAGTACTTTCTGTAAACAGAGTACTCTGTTAGGGACTGGAGTAGGGATGGAATGGGGAGATAGCAATCAAGGAAACAGTTTTGTCCTCGAGAAGCTCATAATCTAGTGGAGAATTCAAAAATATCCCCTCTAAAAGTTCACCAACAATTCAAGAGGTATCATTGGGCAGCAGCAGATAGAAGGGTATACACCAGCACCCAGGCAATGAATGCTTTGAGAATGAAGTTGGAAAGAGTGTAGACTGACTTTCAAAAGTCCTTAGATAGACTGGAGTTTGGTTGGGCCAGGAAGTATGGGAAAGAATCGGATAAAGCAGAGAGAAATTAAGGTGTTTTTAGAAGGAGAAAAAGTATGGGGAAAAGGAGAGAGATATATAAGGTCCAAGTGTGTTTAGAAGCCAAGGCTAAGTGTCAAGAAAGTGGGTATCTAAGCCCTGCCATTATGCTTGTGTGAAAATTCTGACGTCCTTGCTAGGGGGACTCAGGGAAGGGAGTGTGAAGGAAGAAAATAATGAATCAAGGAGGACTCCCATCCCTGAGCCCCGAATACCTTTTCAAGCCTATTTTGCCTCCATAGGGCTCCCACAATGTGTATAGCAGAGCTGCATCATTTTCTCCCTGACACCCTCAGATACAATGTTTTACTTTCCTCAAAGTCATCAAAAATATCTTCTGAGAGCTTAGTTGGTATTTGTAGAGTGTTCTTGTATCCAGCTGGCAGTCTGTTTGCTGGATCTCAGCTTCCCTGACCTGGAGCTGCTAGGCATATGCCGCACTTGGGGTATTTGACAAACTGACACTCTACTACATGGAGTGTCCAACTCAGCTTGTCAAATACACGGAGTGTGGCACTGCAGGAGGCTGGGCATGAGGTTTCAGTGGGGAGGTGAGATCTTCCTGGTAGATGTGGCCCTGTAGGGAAAGAAAGAGAAAGGAGTCAGCCTAAGCACCAGGGAAAATGCAAAGGATATAAAGACTAGCTGAAGCACCAGAATAATAAAGTGAGCAAAATAAGCAATAAGGCTTCTAAAAGAACAGGGATCCTGAGGATATGTAGGGAAGGACTAGTTGACACTGCAGGTGAAGTCCCAGTGCTCAGCTAGGGGCCCTATCTCTATGGTATTTCTAGGAGTACTGAGCTTCAATAAAATTCTTTATGCAGCAGAAGGAGAACAATTTGGTCATTGTTTTGCTTACCTAACCTCATGAAAGGATCGGGCCCCAGAGTCAATGCTCATGCCTCTCCTTCCCAACACTCTCAGGCTATGTTCTCATAGTGTTATGGCTATGGAAACAGGCTTCAAGGTTAAACATGGGCATGAATCCTGGCTCTGCCACTGAGTAGCTGAAAATCCTTGGATAAATCATTTTATTCATTTCTCTGAGTCTAGTTTTCCATATCTACAAAATGGGTGTAAGTATAGTACGTACCTAGTAAGTTATTGTGAGAATGACATGAGATAATGTAAAGCTTTTAGTCCAGTATATGATACATGACAAATGTTCCTTAAAAGGGGAGACGGGTTGAGCTACCAGAAAGAAAGCAAGGGCTATTGGCAATTGATTTAGGACAAATGAAACAGGAATTTCTTATGCCCTCAGTCTAGCCTAACATGGTGCACTTGTCCAATCAAGATTCAAGAAGGGCAGCTGTAAAATAACCATCATCTAGTCTCACCCTCTTATGTTATAAATGAAGAAATGAATGTCCATATTGGGGATGAGAGTTGCTAAGGATCATACAAGTTGCTCACAGTTCAGGGCCATGCCCTGTACTACCCAATTGTGTCCTCCAACTTTCCTCATTGACCTGTTTACCTCCCTGCTTCATACGTCTTTCTTGGAACAGGAAGACATCAACAAGGAAGGCAAAATGAAGGCAACAAGGAAGGCAAAATGAAGGCAACAAGGAAGTCCAAGGGAGTGGACTTGGCAGTGAGGTACTAGGCTCATTCAACTCACAGCCATCACAGAAATAAGGAAGCTGCCAAGTATATGATCAGGCCTGGAGTTTCTGGGAGAACTCCCTTGGTAATTCCCAGATATTATTGCAAAAAAAATCCAGATTGTTTATGTCAAATTCCTCCCCTTCCCAGGTGTGGTAGTTGATCTGTGAGAAAGTAGCTAGTCTATATGAAACACTGGCATGAAAAGGGGCAAATATTTCAAGGTTACCAGTAATGAGAATGGAAAACTGTCCCATAAGGCCAGAAGGTCCTGTCCCAGTTAAAACAAGGTAGAGGTTCAGAAAAAAAAATCAGAGTATATTTTTTAAAGAAATCTTAACTCTTTCAGTTGAATATATGTTGATAAGAAGGTGACATGCTCCTCCAATTTTATATTTGAGAGTGTCTTCAAATTTCAGACTCTAAACTATATTTTCCATCCCTTCATTTGCCTCTCTACCTACTCAGTCCATTACAAGCCAAAAAAGAAGTGTGGATTTTTCAGCTGAAGCAACAATCATGGTACAGTGGAAAGAATCAGACAAACTTGGATTCTATGCTACTTTGGGCACCAAGTAGCCAGTCATGGCTTTGGGCAAGCTTTCCTTTCAGCTTCAATTGTCCTTTGGGCTTCAGTTGTCTTCTCTGGAAATGGGGACAAGAAGACTTACCTGGCAAAGTTGTTAGGAAAGTGTTTGGTGAGCTTTCCAGAGCCTCCCATGTATGAACTCACAGGTACCTTGGCTCAGTCCCTGGAACTGTGTAGCCAGTCATGGCTTTGGGCAAGCTTCCCTTTCAGCTTCAATTGTCCTTTGGGCTTCAGTTGTCTTCTCTGGAAATGGGGACAAGATGACTTACCTGGAAAAGTTGTTAGGAAAGTGTATGGTGAGCTTTCCAGAGCCTTCCATGTATGAACTCACAGGTACCTTGGCTCAGTCCCTGGAACTGTGGGTGATGGCCAGCCAAGAAAGCTGATTAATACAGTTTGAGTTCATTGTGACAGGGGAGAGAGAAGACCTGTATAAACTGGAGTTGTCCACAGCCTTCTGAATGCCCTTCCTGAGGTCATCAAAAGAGAAGAGAGGTATG